CCAAGTTGGAGCAGGAGGTTAGACTGAAAGAACTACAGGTAAGAGAGATAGAAGTCACCTTAACATCGGAGTTTAGATCAAAAGAAGTGGCATTAAGAGAGAAACTAGCTGCTTTTAACCCTGCTACTGCTTCTTCCCTTGTTCCCGGGTTTGATGAATCCGATATGGACGGGTCATTTAGGACTTTTGAGAAAATAGCCGGGAAGAATGAGTGGCCCAAGGACCAGTGGGTGTCAGTGTTAGTTCCTAAATTATATGGTAAGGCTCGTAGAGTTTATAATTGTTTAGACCAGACTGATGACTATGATAACGTAAAAAAGAATATCCTCACCTCTTATGCTATCACGCCAGATGGATACCGGCAGAAGTTTCGTAAACTAACCAAACCATTTTCACACACCTTTGTTGAGTTTGCTCAAGAAAAGCTTAGGTTTTTAAGAAGTGGTTAGAGGCTACAGAGACCTCCACATTTCAGGATTTGTTAAATTTGGTAGTCCTGGAGGAGTGGAAGAGCAAGATACCATTTCACATCTTGAAGCATGTGGAGGAGCGTGGAGAGGTTAATTTAGGACGTGCTGCTGAGCTGGCTGATCACGTGCACGCTTTGTTGGGTGGAGTCACTGGGCAGTAGGGCAGTAGGTACTTCCCGACTTGTGGGTCCTCCTCTGATGATAACCTTGGGAACGTGGTGGTAGGTCGAAAGGTCCACCTACTCCCCCCGATGCAACCAAGCTTACTTGTTCTTACTGTAAAAACCCAGGCCATACGATCCAGACTTGTAAACACCCAAAGTGTCGAATTGCTAAAAGTAGTTCCCTGGATCCCAAATCCAAACCAATAGCAAACACCAATGTGGAAAGGCCCCATCAGGATCTCTTCTCTTCATTCACCTATGAGGAAAAAATTTCAATCATGGAGGGGTCTCGTTCTTTCCCTATTCGTATACTACGTGATACGGGCGCAGCACAATCTATCCTCCTGTTTAACGTCATTCCTGATATATCTACCGCATTTACTAATGAGAGTGTTCTAATTTCGGATCTCTCATCCCATTCTTCCTATCCTTTAGCTAAAGTGCACCTCCAATGTCCCTTGATTACTGGGGAAGTGCAAATAGCCATTAGGAAAGACCCAATGCCTGTGTGCAGCATTCATTTATTATTGGGTAATGACTTGGTAGGAGATCTAGTGGTTCCTAACATAAAGACAGTCGACTCTCCCTTGCCTGTCAACTCCACCACTGACCTTAAAGAAACTATTCCTCATCTTTTCCCATCTTGTGCTGTCACCCGGTCACAGAGTGTGCGAAATGGGCCCTCTTCATCTAAAACCACCTCTAATATCTTCCTACCCACAGAAGATCTGTACAATAAGACCATTAGTAAGGAGGAGCTCGTTAAAGCCCAACAATCTGATCCATCTTTGACTAAACTTCATCATGCAGCAGTTGAGGGTAAAGATTTTAACACCCTTCCGTGTTTTTATTATCATGAAGGGGTTTTGATGAGGGCCTATAGGCCCCCTGAGCTTGCCCATCTAGACACGTGGTCTGAAATACATCAAGTGGTAATTCCCACCTCAGTCAGACCAGCATTAATTGCCCTTGCCCATGATGGTATTTCAGGACATTTGGTAATCCTGAAAACATATAAAAAGCTCCTCCAACACTATTATTGGCCTGGACTTAGGAAGGATGTGTCAAAATACCTAAAATCTTGTCATATTTGTCAAATGGTAGGAAAACCAAATGAAAGTATACCAGCAGCTCCCATTAAGCCCATCCCAGTATTTTCTACACCATTTGAAAAGATTGTTGTGGATTGTGTGGGCCCATTACCAAAGACTAAGAAGGGAAATCAATTCCTGCTCACAGTTATGGATACCAGTACACATTATCCTGAGGCTTTTCCCCTTAAAAGCATCATTTCAAAAAACGTAATCAAACATCTTTTGCACCTTTTCACTTCAGTGGGCATTCCTAAAGAGATCCAATCCGATCAGGGCACCAATTTTACGAGCAATCTTTTCAAACAGGTGATGAAAGACCTCAGTGTGGACCATTGTACATCTTCGGCTTACCACCCACAATCCCAAGGTTGCTTGGAACGGTTCCATCAAACTTTCAAATCAATGATAAAAAAATACTGTATAGAACACCAAAAGGAATGGGATGAAAGCATAGACTTGTTACTCTTTGCCATCAGGGAATGTCCCCAGGAGTCATTGGGTTTCTCCCCGTTCGAGTTACTATATGGGAGACAAATTAGGGGACCCCTTAAAATAGTAAAGGAGCAGTGGTTTGACACTCCATCTATTAAGCCCGCAACAGTTTCCCAATACATTGACACTTTAAGGGACAAATTAACTGAAGTCCGAACCATTGCTCAGTCAAACTTAAAAAAAGTCCAAGAAAAAATGGTGAAGTCCCAACCTAAATTAGTTAAAGGATCATTTTCTCCAGGTGACAAAGTGTTACTCTTTCTACCCATTCCAGGCTCTCCCCTTAAAAGCAAGTTTACTGGTCCCTATATAGTTGCTAATAAACTATCTCCTCTCAACTATATAGTCCATACTCTGATCATAGAAAAGATTCACAACTTGTTCACATTAATCTCATGAAACTTTACCATTCCAGGCAGTCAGAAGACATCCCAGAAATTTTATAAGTCAACCATGTATTGCACTTTACGGTTTATCAGGCCGGAGCCGGAGACAGATGACATGGACCTGTGGAGGGTAGACTTCCCTCTACTAAAAGCCCTGCTAACAGTCACATACTCAACAACTTGGTTAGTATTTCTGTTCTAGATCCATCTGACAAAAGATCTCACTGGTTATTATCAACATTTCACAAAGTCATCCAGAGCCTCGGGGTTTTGCAATATCTTAAACGATATTAAGCTAATCTCAGATGATGTACAACATTAGGCAATCAGCCTATCGACTAAATCCACAAAAAAAAAGATTATGAAAAAGGAGGTAGATTTTTTGTTAAAACATAACTTAGCTGAGCCTAGTACCTCCCCCTGGGCTTCACCTTGCCTTCTCATTCCAAAACCCGATGGCACTTTTCATTTCTGTACCGATTATCGTAAAGTGAACCAGGTCACTGTCTCAGACTCCTACCCTTTACCTTTGATTGAAGATATAATAGACAGCATAGGCTGTGCCAAATTTATCAGTACCGTGGACCTGTTGAAAGGATATTACCAAGTGGGACTCACGGATAGGGCAAAAATAATCTCGACATTTATAACTCCATTTGGTCTTTTTCAATATTTGGTTATGGCGTTTGGCTTTTCTAATGCTCCGGCCACATTCCAGAGGGCCATCAACTTCCTAATTCAGGACCTAGGTGGGACGTTCGCCTACCTGGATGACCTGGTGGCGGTGGTGTCGGACTGGCTGGGACGAACATCTGGTGCGTTGGAATACTGTTTGCATGACTGCAGGGCTAGTTCACCATAAACCTGGCTAAATCTGCTTTTGGCCGGGCCTCCGGTAACACCTGGGACATATCGTTGGGCATGGTATGGGTGAGACCCAGGACGCAAACGTTAGAGCCATCTTGTCCTTCTCAAGGACGAGGAAGGAACTCATGCGCTTCCTGGGGATGTGCGGCTACTACCGTCGATTTCTTGATAACTTCTCCAGCGTGGCGGACCTCTGAACCTTCAGTTCTGCGGTCCCGTACATCTGGAACCAGAAATGCGACCAATCTTTCCACCGCCTCAAAGCCTTCCTTGCCTCCAAGCCTGTAGTCCACCCCCCTGACTACACCTCGCCCTTCCATCTGCAAATCGACGCTAGCGGTGTCGGAGTGGGGCTGTGCTCCTACAACCCGACCCAACCACTGATGTCCTTCACCCTGTGGCATACTACTCCGCCAAGTTGAAAAAACATCAGACCAACTACTCGACCATAGAAAAGGAGGCCCTGGCTCTGGTGTTGTAATAACCCTTTCACGTTCATCAAACCAACAGACCTCCAACCAGCGAATCCTCCGCTGGAATATCCTCGCAACCCTATAATCTACAAGTCCGGCACATAAAGGGGGTTGACAACCTGATTGCAGACTCCTTATCCCGAGCTCCAGTGGAAATGCAGCAGCTACTCTCCAGACGCACCAGTTGATCACCTCCTTCGCGACCGCGCTACGGAGGTCTTTGGAGGGGGGGTGTGTTACGAACCCCTCCACCCAGCACTACGAACCACGCCATCTATTGTCCTGAGCTACCTACCCAGCACCACGAGCAACGCCATCTAGGGACGAGACACGAGTATGACTCGTCTTAGTTAACACTCCGGGGTTTCCCTTCTCCATATCCTGGTTGTTGCGTCACCTCCTCAAAGTCTTCTTTGTCAGCTCCAATTCGAGGAGAGAGCACTTGGCTCTGGGAAGTGACCACAGGATCATCTATCCTCTAAACCTACGTCGCAGTGACTACCTACCGTCTTCTACAATACTCAGCCTTACTCGTCAGCCATCTCAGCTCCCCACTTAAGTACTTTTATCTTGTATTGCCTCCCCCACGTCCACTTGCTTCAAAATGGTTTATGTTGTATTAATATGTATATACTGTTAATGTTTAGGTTAAGTTTGGTTAAGGGTAATTTGTAAGCTGAATATTTTGTTAAGGAATTTATGGTACTTTATTATACACAACGAAAACTCGCATCCTTTGTCTACCCTTTTATAGTCCGATTGTCTTTGTTTTTTTGTTTTTTGTTACCTGTTGGGATCTGGGTAGACGTATAACTATATTCTAAATCCCCAACTCGTAACAAGATATAAACTACAATATCACTACATCTACACTACAGCACATCTACACTACAGCAGAACATTACATCACTATCACTACACTATAAGTCACTCTTTTCTTGTGAATCTTTTGTCACATGTGAAAATTCCAACCTTATTATATGTTCAGTTACACTTTACCCCCCGAAAAAAAAGTTTACCTCATTAGCTTCATCTCAATAACTTTCCAAATAAGATGGTAGAAGAGATGACTAGCTACCAAGAGGGATCACACCTGGTGGAGTTCGGTTATGCCGACTTTGAAAAAATATTCAAAAAGACCGGTATTTTGGGCGAAGGGGTCAGTGGCGAAGTATTGCTGGGAGAGTTTTTCAACAGACCTGCCTGCGCTAAAATAGGAGTAAGCCATGGCGTCAACAACATCTTTAAAAGTGAGATAGAAAACAATTTAAAAATAAATGGCGCTGGTGGATCCCCCATCCTGCTGGGGTCGTGCATCGATTACCCGGTAATGATCTTCTCAGTCTGCCAGGGTCAATCATTGTACGACATTATCGATAATTTATTTGTTTTATCTCCCACCCGGTCGATAAACCTCTTCCTACCCATAGCTGAAGGCCTAGCCGAGGTACACAGCCGGGGTATCATCCATAATGACATTAAAGGGGATAATGTTCTGCTGGAGAAGAATCCCGATGGATCCTTCACCTCCCACCTTATCGATTTTGGCTTATCAAGAGTCGAAGGTGGCCACCTGACCTTACGCAGCAACCCGTACGGGAGCCATTACGCCCCCGAGCTATTTAAAGGTCAACCCTGCACCCCGGCCAGCGACATTTATTCGCTTGCAGTGATGATCTCCGACACCCAAAATACCTTTGACAACCTCTGGCTGCCAGGGGTTAAAGACCTGTGCAAGAAAATGCTCTGCCGCAGCCCACAGCACCGCCCAAGTCTCGCTAAAGTGATTGAAGTTTTTAAGCAGTCCCTCGAGGAGCTCTCCCTTGAGGTGCTCTCCCCCTCCAAGACACACCACTGATACAACATGTACAGTAGGCCTATATATCAGATGCCACTGAGAGCTCATGCTCTCACTTGGCTGAGCCATGTCAATATCGTCACAATAGTCCATTCTGTATATTATTATGGGTAAATAAACGGTTAAATATAAATATTATCAATATGAATATCCTCCTCCTCCACGCACCAACAGCCTTTGTAAGAGATAAACACACCATTACCCCTTCTACAGCTACTACTGTTTAGTGGGAATAGTAATAGTTTCATTTTTGCATTGTACCTGTAAATAAATGAAATAAATAAATAATTAAATTTTAACCTACAACTCAGAAATTGACTTTTTATCCTTTACACATGTGCGTAACTAATGATGTTCTACCACAGTTGACAGATCACCTGAAGACTTGTACCTGATCATTAAATACCTTAACGCTAACCGAATATAACCCAATCCAGCCTAACTCAGCCTAACATAACTCAACCCAAACCAACCTACCATAGCATTACATAACATAACCTAACTCAGCCTAACATAACTCAACCCAAACAACCTACCATAGCATTACATAACATAACCTAACCTAACCCAGCCTAACATAACTCAACCCAAACCAACCTACCATAGCATTACATAACATAACCTAACTCAGCCTAACATAACTCAACCCAAACCAACCTACCATAGCATTACATAACATAACCTAACCTAACCCAGCCTAACATAACTCAACCCAAACCAACCTACTATAGCATTACATAACATAACCTAACCTAACCCAGCCTAACATAACTCAACCCAAACCAACCTACCATAGCATTACATAACCTAACCTAACTCAGCCTAACATAACTCAACCCAAACCAACCTACCATAGCATTACATAACATAACCTAACCTAACCCAGCCTAACATAACTCAACCCAAACCAACCTACCATAGCATTACATAACCTAACCTAACCCAGCCTAACATAACTCAACCCAAACCAACCTACCATAGCATTACATAACATAACCTAACTCAGCTATGCTCAGCCCAAACCAACCTGCCATAGCATTACATAACATAACTAACTCGGCCTAACGTTAACTCCTTCAAACCCAGCCTGCTGCTGGCATTACCTTATACTGCTTCTTCTTGGCCTATTGCTCAACCCAAACCAACCTGCATTGCATAACGCAACTATCAGCCTAACGTAACTCAACCCAAACCAACCTACCGCATGGCATTTACACCGCGCAAACCTAACCTGCTCAGCCTAACATAGCGTCAGCAAACCAACCTGTAGCGTTACATAACGTAACCTAACCTAACTGACCTAACATAACTCCTTCAAACCAACCTACCATGGCATTTTACGCCAACATAACTAACTCAGCTAACGCTCAACCCAAACCAACCTGCCGTAGCATTGCATAACATAACCTGTCAGCTTCTTATCAACTCAACCCAAACCAACCTACCATAGCATTACATAACATAACCTAACCTAACCCAGCCTAACATAACTCAACCCAAACCAACCTACCATAGCATTACATAACATAACCTAACTCAGCCTAACATAACTCAACCCAAACCAACCTACCATAGCATTACATAACATAACCTAACCTAACCCAGCCTAACATAACTCAACCCAAACCAACCTACCATAGCATTACATAACATAACCTAACCTAACCCAGCCTAACATAACTCAACCCAAACCAACCTACCATAGCATTACATAACCTAACCTAACCCAGCCTAACATACGAATGGAGGAAACTGCAGCGGGCCTATTGGCCCATACTGGGCATTCCCATTTACACCCAACCCCTATTGCTTATATATCCATCCAACCTGTTTGAAGCTATCCAGCGTATTCGAGTTAATGATGGTGTTTGGTAACTTGTTCCAGTCGTCCACTACTCTATTTCCAAACCAATGTTTACCTATTTCGCGCCTAAATCTAAATTTGTCTAATTTAAAACTATTGTTACGAGTTTGCTCCTGGTTGGATAGTTTGAGTTCCTTTGTAATGTCCGCTTTGTTCAGCCCTGACTTTCCATTTATACACCTCGATCATATCGCCCCTCGCCCTACGTCTCTCGAGGGAGTGCAAATTAAGAAGCTTTAACCTTTCTCTGTACTCAAGGTTCCTAATGCCCGGGATTAGTCTTGTCATTCTCCTCTGAATTCTTTCCAAGGATTCTATGTCCATTCTGTAATACTGTGGCCAGAATTGAACTGCGTAACCCAAATGAGGTCTCACAAGCGCAAGATATAGTTTTAAGATGACCTCGCTAGTCTTGTAATTAAGAATCATTTAACGTCCCCTTTGTTTTTACAGGAAATATATTTTTATGGTGTATTTTGGTGTGTTTGTGTGTATGTGCGGATCTTCATCTTCTCTGGAAAATCCCCATTTATGAAAAAATCTCTGAAACTTACAGAACTAATACGTCAAAGAAACCTGACCTAACCTTACCTAACTTCCTAGCAGGAGGCCCCGCCCCCAGACCCCTGCCATATTAAACAGAAAGTATTTTTTGATATCTGGTACTAGTGAAAGCAACTTGGTGGAGGGGTCAGCGTGTAATTTTACCTGTTTAGTGGACATGAGAGTACTGAACGGGTCGGTTGTAAACACACAGATGACACGCGGTGACTTTGCAGATTTCCCGAGGAATATTTACAGTAAATAATTCATCTTTCGCCATTTCTTCCAAAATAATGACCATCCAAGAATGTTGAAATGTAACGTAACCTATATCTAAAGTCCAAGAAATAAAACATTAACTCTTTCTATAGAAACTGGCGGAAACGTTAAAACGAATCTTAACCAGTGACTTAATATCAAGAAATCTAGGAGTGAGTGACTATAACATCAGTTCATAACACTTTTCCCTCTCCTCACCCTTATCGATATATTTCTGGACATTTCTAAAGCCTTTGATACTGTCGACCATACCCTCCTCCTGTCAAAGCTTGAACATTACGGCGTTAGGGGCCTGTCCCACAATTGGTTTACGTCATATCTGTCCAACAGGAAGCAGTATGTCTGCTACAATAATCATCAATCTGACTCCTCACCAATTTTGTATGGCATCCCCCCAAGGTTTCATTCTCGGTCCTGTGCTGGTCTTGTTGTACATAAATGATATAGTTCACGCCAGCGCACTCGTAAAATACAACTTATTTGCCGACGATAGTAACCTTTATGCCAGCACTGAACACTGAATTGACTAAAGTCAGGACCTGGGTAACACGTAATAAACTGACTTTAAACTTTGACAAAAAAAACCCACAACACGATCATTCACAGAAGGAAAAACTTACCCCCAGACTTGGACACCCTGTACCTTGGAAATACAATCTTCAAACGTGAACAAAATATTTAATTCCTCAGAGTTATTGTTGATGATAAACTTAGCAGGAGGAACCACATCAAGCCATTCAAAGTAAAGTCAATAAACAGTGCTGTATTTTGTGTCAAACTCGACAGTCACTCACTCTCACAGCAATGAAAGAAATCTATCATAATCTTGCTTACCAACACCTGATACACTGTCACACACTATGGGGGGCCTCTGGCTCTTCAGAAACACAACCCCTGATCACTGCACAGAAGAGAGTTGTGCGGACAATGACCTACTTGAAAAAACTGATCACACTATCAAACAATTTGCTAAATTGAAAATGTTAAAATTCCAAGATATTAACACCTACTGCTGTGCCCTATTTGTTTACAAAACTGCCAATCACTTGGTTGACAATAATCATTTCCAGTTCCGGAATAATCAGAGCTACTAAGACCACCCTCCATGCGCTCCTCTCAGTCCCAAACCTCCATAAAATATCACGGTGTGAAGGTGTGGAACAACTTACCCCCACCCATCCGAGCAAAGACTATGCTCCCTTCCTTTAAATCATCTCTTAAAAAAATTATATTGTATAAGTATTAATTTTTTTTGTAATACCTACTTT